GAAAAAACAATGAAATCCTTTTCATTTCTGAAATGAGCTCCAGCAGAAAACTGTAAGTATGCAAATATATGGAAAACATCATGAGCAGAGAGAATGACATCATCCCTGCTGAGGTGCGTTTGCAGTGTGACCCATTTTCTAACTCAAGTACATAAACAGCACAATTTTCCAACCGTCTGGTATGCAAAACGAATGCCCATTCGTTCACACAAACGCACATTACTTCCTACTGTAGGTCCTGAAAATGTAAAACAAATGCAAATCAAGTTTCTACCTCAGCGCCTGCTTTCTATCGTTAGCGTGTGTGTAGCATGCGTGTGCGCATTTAGGGAAAAATTACATCAGCTGTTCACCGAGTTGGAAATAAATTCAGCATTACCTCAACTGCATGAAAACATTACCACCCCACACAGCAGGCAGGTCTGGCCCGGATCTGGTATCAAGCCGGCACTGCTTGTTGACTTTTGGCATGATAAGACGTATGTCATCCAAATATGGGCCAGGCCCGGCATAGATGGCAATGTGTATGTGTGTCTGTGTGCCATATCTGGCTCGATTGTGGTTTGGTTTATGTGGCCCAGGCTCATAGAAAACAAGTCTGGGCCAGACTTGGCAACAAGCTGGCACTTCTGACTAACTGGTGTCACAGCAGGGTGTATGTCAATCCAGATGTGGGCCAGGTCTGGCAATGATTGCACTATTTATGTTCCTATTTTCCTATTTTAATTAGAAGAACCAAATGCCATGTTGCAATACTTCTATACTAGCCAACGTTTCAAAATAAGGTTTGACAGGTTTGTGAGTGTACACTTTATCCAAAACCTAGTGACGGTTTACTCATCTTTGCCAGTGGGTGGCTGTAGCTCGGGAGGTAGAGCAGGTCACCTACTGATCGGAAGGTTAGTAGTTTGATCCCTGGCTTCTCCAGTCCAGTCCAAAGTGTTATGAACAGCTGATCGGATCGGCAAAACGTGTTCCTGGAATATTATGTTTTTGTTGCTGCAAGCGCTTTTTATGCAGTTTTTGCAAAGCTTTATGTGGAAGGAAACCGTGACCTAGGACAAGCTGATGGCATAAGATGTAAGTACAACTCCTCCGGTTTCATATGCAAAAAATTTTTTTGCGCTAGCTCACGTGGTTGCAGAGCTACCAGGATTTAAAAATAGTTATGCCAAACAGAGCGTGCCCGCTCTGATCGGCTCTAAAGGGTTAAGGTACACATTAGGCTGACATATGGGCCAGCACAGGGCCAGCAGTGTGTCTGCAACTGGCCCGTGGCTGCACACAACTTACACATGGATCACATACCGGAAAGAGTGACGGCCCTTTGGTGGTCCAGATCAGGATTGTCAGAGGTGGCCCACACATGGGCCAGCACAGGACCACCAGTGTGTCTGCAACTGGCCTTGCGCTGGCCCATGAGACAATCTTCAGTGCACTGCATGAGTTTGTGAGAAAAAAATGGCACGTACACATTCCTCTACTGACAGGTAGGAAAGAGAAGAAAGTGAAAATGTACTGCGCTACATTCAGTTCATGTGTCCACAATCCCTGTGAGGTTTAAAATAACATGACGAGTTTGTTTTGTAGGAAGCAAATGTAGCTCATTTCTTGTATGACACTGTCCACAGAGGCTATTTTTGACCTACAAGCTTGTAAAACTCTCCATATTTGTTTTGTGATTGGTATGAAAGATTTTATTCATTTGTCAGACTTTTACGATGAGCATTTTCCTGTCCTCTGGAATATATTTTATCTTCTGGTTTCCTCGTCCATCATGCTGATTGTACATTTACGAGGCCAACAAAATTCCTTACAAAAGCGACTGAACTTTGTGCTCATATTGCTTTTACAGCCTCGGAGCAGTAACTCCAGCAGAACAAAGTGCACTCAGATGCTCCCAAGTCAAACAAAGGAGCTGTGCATTCAGAGAACGCGTGTTATTGGATCTTGCACACACAAGTCTTCCTTTCTCCTAACAAAGTGATTGTGAGCTGATCCTAAAAACTTTTATTTGTGCTTATAGTTCGAAGGCCCTCAGCATCGATGCCCACGCTTACTTGATCACTTTCAGTGTCTGCGGTGCTGGGCTTTGATTGGCCAAGCCCTTAGGGCCAGGCAGGAAGTCCCGAATGCTCTCAGTCTTCACTCCCAGGTTCGGGGTCAGCGGGATGAGCGCCGGGCTTATCATGCGCTCCTGCATGTCACACTTCACGCACACTGCACATGCAACAGAAACATGCAGTCATGTTAAAAACAAAGTACACGCCATGATTCAGTAGTTATGTAGAACTTAGAACTGTAGAAATTCTAAGTTCCCCATAGGTGAGAAAGTGAGTCCAAATGGTTTGTCTCTGTGTGACAGACTGGTGACCAGTCTAGGGTGTTTGTTGATGAATGGCCAACTCTTCTTTATAATGTTGCTTCAGTTCATTGAGGTTTATGGATATTTGTTTCTAAACTGCTCTCGGGTCGGGTTGAGGCCTTTAAAAACTTTAAATCTTGTCTTTTTCAGCTATTCTGCTGTAGATCATATCGGACTCTAGAATACTTCTGTATTCAGAGGAGTTCGTGGTCAACCCAGTAACTATAAGGTGCCCAGACTTCTCAACTTTAGTCTCATTTGTCCAAAGGACACTGTTCCAAGAGTCACACTGTTCAGATGTAGCTTTACAAACCTAAGCCATGCTGCCATGTTCTTTTTAGAAAGAAGAGGCTTTCTCCAGGCAACCCAGTTTTTTAGGCTTTCTCTAATTGTACTGCCATGAACTTTAACATTTAACACACTAACTGAGGTCTGTAGAGTCTGAGTTCTTCTGAGCACTTTGGAGATGCTGGGATATCTACTACTGGGAAGGGTTTTCAACAGAAGAAACAATTGCTTCTTCTGCCAAAACCTCTGCTCCTAATGAGATGCTCACACTTGCTTATGATCAGGTAATGAAGTGCATTTGATTAGCAGCATCTGGCTGCAACTTACCCTCTTAATTTCTATGGAAGCTGTAAATTTGTACTTTTTCACGACTACACAGAGTCATGTGAAAACTGTATTTGTCATGTGGCTGTATTTATGTGCATTAAAAACCTTTCTTTCTTTCATGTATTTGTTAAAGTCATAAACTGTAATGCATTTCTGACTTCCTAAAACATCAGTGTGTTCAAGTCCTGTGTGTGGCTGTAGATTTTAACCTGGAATGAGGTTATCCATGGGGCTTGGTAGCAAGAGGTGAAGGTGCTCTCTGTCTCCACCCTGTTCTTGAAGCCATGCCTTGAACACAGTCTCTATGGCAAACACAGTGTTCTCCACCTGCTGCAGGTCGACCTCTGTCCCCAGCATCAGAGAGTCTGCAAACACACATGCACACACATAGTGTTAAAAAGCTGTATCAGACTGTCTGAGGCTCTGTATGTGATAAGTGCATTGTTCTAAAGATTTTAACCTC